AAAGGTAAAATATTTAGGGTTGGGCTGAGGATGTAGCTCAGAGGTAGAGTGTTTGCCTGTCATAGTGAGGCCCTGGATTCAGTCACCATTGCAGTCCCCAAATATATGTGCTTGCAATTTCAATACAATCATTAGTGTAGGACAGTGTTAGGGCCATGCTCCTCTCTGCAGTGACCATATCTTCTTCACCTTTGTGTTAGGATCAGTAACATCACATTTTTTGTTAGTTGCCTATGGGTCAAATCCTGCCTATGACTTGTTCTCTTTTGTTTCATTTTAATTGGAGGGGGGAACAGCTATACTCATTAACTAATTTATTATCTATGGCTGTTTTATGCTAAGACAGCAAAGTCCAACCATTTTCAGAAAAACAGTGTGATCCATGAAGCCAAACTTATTTACTCTCTGGGTCTGGGCTTGGAGCCCACCATCCAGCGTTCAGTCTGGAGCCTTGGAAGTTTAGTCTTTGTCATGCCAATTAGAATGAGATACAGACCAGGCAGCTGGACAGAGGGGATAAACCTTAGCTTTTTTAAAGAATTGCAAGGGGTCCCTTGCCTCTTTCCACAAATCAGGACTTTCAGGTTCCCTTTGACTCCACTTTCAGCCCTCTGACCAAAATTTGGGTGATCAGAGGACAGATTTTTAAAAAAGTAAAACTCAGAGTTTGGGATGTAGCTCAGGGGTAAAGCAAATGGGCAGAGGGAGGCCCTGGGTTCAATTACTAGGATTAAAAAAATTTTTAAACGAGGGTGGACCCTACTATGTTGGATCTCCATCCTCCAAGCAGTGACACTGTCCTACTCTCAAGATTCTTTTTTAAAATATATTTTTCATTGGTACATTTTAGGTAGACAATACAGTTACATTCATCCCTGGAATCCTGTACCTTTACATGATGTATCTTCGTTCTTATTTCCCCCTCCCCTGGAGTCCCTTTACCTGCTCCACCCTTCCCTATTTACAAAGACTTTGTTTCCAATTTTTTTCCTTTTCTCTGTGCTTGTTTTGTTTTATTTTGTACCAGGGCTCAAATTTAACAGCAGCCCAAGAGAGCTGAGTTCTGCATGGGGCTGAGCTGAGTTTAGCAGGGGTGATGCTTTGCCACCCAGGCCACAGAGTGCTTTCCAGCAAGCCAGGTGGTCACAAGAGGTAGGGATAGAAACGCCTGTGCCCATGCTCCTGCCTGGCCCTGTTGTCCCTTGGGTTCAGAAGCACAGAGGTGGCCACCTTGGGAACCACAGGCCCCCAGGGCAAGAGCCTCGCTGTCTGTGTGGCTCTGGGCAAGGAGCCCCCCTTGTGTGGGTAGCAGGAGTGAGCCCACGTAGGTGTCAGCAGTGGTCTGTGCTCAGCCTGACGCCCTAGACTGTGTGAGGGGATTTGTGGTAGTGCTTGCGAAGCAGGTGGCGGAAACACTGGGCTAAATCCCTGGCCCCTTTTTCCTTTTCTCTTTTGTTTTCCCTTCCTACCTTTCCCCTACCCCTCCCACTTCCCCTACCTCCTTTGGACCTTTTCACTCTAGGTTCTGTTCAGTGAGATCACTTACTTTCCACCGTCACCACCATGGCAAGAAGGCCTGAGGGTTAAAGCAGGAGCAACTGGAGAAAAGACAAAAGGTTGGGGACTTGAAGGGGATTTTGCATACTTTGATCCCCCTTTTCAATCCTCAGACCAGAACCAAAGGCTCCTTTGGGAGAGCTCCCTCTGCACACAGTGTTCATCTGAACTTTCTGGATGCTCCCAAAAAGGGAAAACTTATCATTAGTCCAGCAGTACTTCACAGTATTTCACTGTGCTTTGACTCACTGGTACTCCTTTCAGTCTTCACCTAGCTGTCCCATGCATCATATCCAAGTTGTACACCTATTTTCAACACGTTTATTCCACTTATTCTTTTCCTAAAAATGTCAGCCTGTGCTACTTCTTTGTGAATTTCAGTGACTATATGAGAAAATAAGTTGTGCTCACAAATTTATACTCATTCTCTTACAGTAGGTTCAGCCATCATTTCAGTATTTATGTTTTTCAATTTGCTTTATTTATATTCTTAGTACATTTTGAAGAATAATTACAATGATTTGGCCCATGTTTTGGTTATGTGAACAATAGTGCCACATGTAATCTGAATTATCATGCAGAGTTTAGTAAACAGTTTCTACTTCAACAACAAATACTACCGTAGAGACTTAATTGAGTACATAACCCTTTCTGTTGTCATAGCAGTGTGAAATCTCAACATCTGGATCTTTCAAAAGAAAATCAAGAGGAGGGCCAAGGATTTAGCTCAGTGGTGCTGCGGCCTGCCTTGCCAGTGTGAGGACCTGAGTTCAATTCCTGGTACAAAAAAACAAAACAAAGCAAGACCAAGACTGGGAACCAGGGGCTTTGCTGTTCTCGCCTAATAAGCCAAGTTCTGGAGCAATTCCAGGGCCATCTGGGGCCAGCCAGCCTTTGTGTGCTGTCTGCTGTCCTCAGCTCTGCCCTGGGCTCCGCTCCGCTCACATCAAGAAGGCTTTAGTCCCAGCCTCAGGCCACCACATGAAGCCATGGAGTGAACAGAGGCCGGCAAGGGCCATTCTGCTCTGTGCCCCAATCCTCATGCCACAGAAAGAGTCCTCCTGAGAATGCACTTAGTACAGTGAGAGCTGTCACCGGCAGCATTTTAGATCTATCATTACAAGACAATCTTGTAAAATGAAGGTTCGTTTCTATGTGTGGTTCCTGCGTATGTACTACCATAGTTACTATAAAATTAGAATAACATTACTTACGTATAACGCACCATCTAAAAATGTAAGCTATTCTTGATTCTAGTGTTTTTCAGTTTAGTTAATACTCAATAAAATACATACACTGCAGAGAGGAAAGTAGGGGTGAGGTGCAAGACGAGGGAGGCACGAAGGGCTGAAGACCTAACACCGGGCCCACTCCCCGTCCACACAGGCCATAGTCCTCAGCACCGAGTAGGCCGACGCACTGCTGTATGAGGTTCTGAAGCCACTGACCGTTTGGCTCTTTTGAGACAGGGTTTCACTGTGTACTTCGGGATGGCCTTGAGCTCAAGGCAGTCCTCCTGCCTCAGCCCTGCGGAGGCTGGGGTTACCGCTGTGCCCCACACACCTGGCTGGTAGAAGCACACGTTATACTGAATGCTTGACTGGCCGACTGTGGGATGGGGTCTCACCATGAGCTCAAAGGACCCTTCCTCCTGGGCCTCCCCGCTATGGGATACTACCGGCATGAGCCACCACACCTGAGTAGCTTTTGGATTCTTTTCCATTTTGGTGGATTAAAATTTTCTAGAGTATTTTACCTTGATGGGGCACACAATTATATTACGTTTACTCCCATTCTCTGCTGTTTCCATTTTTAGTTTTTAAATTAGTTATAGTACAAGAAAAAGTGTTGGAACAAATATCCTTACACATGTAACAAACTAGAATATGAAATTCTCTAGGAGATATTTATGCAGTCAAGAGTTGTTCCTGTAAAATCTTGCCAAACACAGCACTATTTCTTTTGGAATCTTCTCAAAAGATGGCACGATTATCTTTGACTCATTTTTACAGAGAGAGCCAGAGACATTTTTATATTATAAAATATTGGCCACCTATTTTATAAATGTGTTTGTGTAATTTATGCATTTTGGTCCTCTTTGTCTTTCTTACCACTTCCTTTCCCACATCTCAACATCTTGGTAACGGGTCACCTGAGATCAAAGAAGGACTAGCAAAGCGGAGAAAAAGGCAGGCGGCAGAAACACTTAGTTAAATCCCAGCTTCATTATTGTTGTGTTGTTGAGACAGGGAATCGCTATGTTACTAAGTTGTCCAGGCAGAGCTTGCATTTGTGATTCATTTTCTAGAGTGCTGGGATTACAGTTGTGTGGCATCATGCCTGGCTTGTAATTCACCTTTTGTTATAAGGACAGATCTGCATTTCTTCAGTGCATAAGCATACAAAACTAATTACTGGATTTTTTAAAAGAAGGGACTTTATTCTTAGCTGTTATGCATTCCATCTGTTTCTTATTATTTGGTAAAAGTTCTAATAAAAATGGTAGGTAACTGTGTAAGTGCAGAAGAGCAACTTCCAACAAATATTGAACATTTCTTCTACTGTGTTGGTAGAGATCAAACCAAGGGATTCCTACATCCTAGGCAAGCAAGCACACTGCCCCTGAGATATACCCCCAATTCCTCACTTTATCATGAAAGCATGAAGCACACTTTGCTTGTATACACATGAACGCTGGGCATTACACAGTGTAGGCAGAGGCAAGATTTGGTATTTCTGAGAAACAGTAACTTACTAGGAATGTCGACATTTTTCTGCTTTTGTGAAATGTTGTTTCTGTGAGAGTTTTGTTAGTGCCAAAAAATTAATTTCATTCATTTTAAACTACCCTGATTTTGTGTTTGGCCAGCACACCGGCCTCAACGCAGGTGATCGGGGATGGCATGAGTCAGCCGCACACACGGGGACCCGGACGCCTTCTAGTTTCCCTTTGCTCGGACTAAATGAGGTGCCCTGACACTCAGCTCACACTGCTGTCTCCTAAGGGGTATCAGGTATCAAACATGGTACCCCGAAACACGAAACACAGCATGCTGGTGTTCGAAGAGTTTTAAGCAGAACTGAATTGAGAAAATACACAAGTGTGAATGTCGCACTCTCGCTTGCTCCTGCTTTCCTCCCTTGAAGTGAGTCAAAAAACAACGTTCTGACCTCCTGCTCCTGAAACTGGCTCCTGAGACTCATCACTGAGCCACCCTGCCCTTTACCCAGAGATCAGGAAGAACCTGGACAGACAGGCCCAGCTAAGTCCCCCACGCTTCTTAACTTTAGAACATAACCTGTTACATGCCAATCCTAGTCCTTCCTGACTGTTCATGAAAATAGTTGTCCCTAAGTCTTTAGGTCTTCATTTCTGAAGGCTCCCATATGACTGCAAACTCATGTTGATTATATTTGTTGTACTTTTCTCTTGTGAATTTCAGCCATTAACGTTCCTGTGGGTGAAGAAAATATTATTCTTTGGTCTCTGCTACTTCTGGCACCAACATAGAGTCACTGAGACACCTCACTTGCTTCTGGACCTGCAAATGCAATCCGGGGACATTTAACAAAAAAGCCAGCAAAAGGTAAAAATAATTCCACAATCAGCTCTCCAGGATTTCTCTCTGTAGTGTTTTTTAGTTTAAATGATAAAATATTTTTCCTCGTCCCTGTGTTTATAAATTCGTATTCGCATCAAGAGTGTTGGCACACACCTGTAAGCCCAGCACTTGAGAGGCTGAGACAGGACTGCTATGAATTTGAGGCCTAGCACACACTCTACCAGTGAACTACACCCCCAGCAAAGAAATCCCAGTTGCCACATGCACCATCAAGGAAGTTTAAGAATAGATTCCTTTTGCAAAAACAGAGAAAAAAAGACCCCAAAGATACAATCAAAAGAAGAAAAATGTCTTACTTTATCTTTGATAGAATTACATGAAACAAAAGACAAATTATATTTCAATGAAAAACAAATTTACACAAAATTCACCATCCAAACAAATGATTTGTCCTGTTGATATGAATGAATGAATGAATTTATTTATTTGAGACAGGGTCTCACTATGTAGTTGAGACTGACCTGGAACTCACTATGTAGCCCAGGCTGGGCTCAAACTCACAGCAATCCTCCTGCCTCAGCCTACCGAGTGCTGGGATTACAGGCGGGCGATATCACGCCCAGCTCTGGAAATACAAATAATATTCCCAACTATGTCCTGTTACAAGGGGAACAGATTCTTATTTATTTGTTTGTTTGTTTATTCATTTTGGTTTTTTGAGACAGGGTCTCACTATGTGGTGAGACTGACCTGGAACTTACTATGTAGCTCAGGCTGGTCTTGAAATCACAGTGATCCTCCTGCCTCAGCCTCCTGAGTGCTGGGATTACAGGCATACACCATCATGCACAGCCCAGATTCTTATTTATATAAATATTTATACAAATATTATCACAAAAACGAGAATACTTACAAATAGTTTCTAATCTCTAAGAGTATTAGGGAAAACAATTGTTTTAATCTTGTTTATAAAAGTATAATCTAGGGGCTTGGGATTTAGCTCAGTGGCACTGTGCCTGCCTTACAAGTGTAAGGTCCTGAATTCGATCCCTGGTACAAAAAACAAAAGTGTAATCTACTAAATTACTCTAAAGTATGTATCAATAAAGAGAAAATGGGCTTCCTTAAACCAAAATAACTAAAGAAAGATTGAACAAAGTAGGCATTAATTTTACAGAACTAAATAAGCTGATAGAAATGATTATACTTTTCTTATGATTATGTTCAGTAATAGTTTTACTTATATCTGGGAAAAACACACACACTAACAACCCAGAATTGTTTAAAATTAAAAATGCTCTGTGGGCATGGTAGCTCACTCCTGTAATCCCAGCACTCAGGAGGCTGAGGCAGGAGGATCACTGTGAGTTTGAGACCAGCCTGGGCTACATAGTGAGTTCCAGATCAGTCTCAACTACATAGTGAGACCCTGTCTCAAAAAAACCAAAAATAAATAATAAATAAATAAATAAATAAATGCACAAGGGCTGGGGATTTAGCTCAGTGGTTCTGCCGCCTCCCTCGCAAGCTCAAGGACCCAAGTTCGATCCCTCGTACAAAAAAAAAAATTAAAAAATGCACATTTGTGTTCATCAGTTCATTTAGTTCTGTGTAAGTAATGCTTATTTAGCCTGCTTTTGGTTTAGCAGTTTTATGAATACATGAGCTTCTTTGCTAGAGCTTGTAAATTTTCACCAAGTCAAATGGTAAGATTGTTTTTTTAACTTTTTGTGATTCTCTGATTTTATCTGTATTTATAGCACATAACATGTGTCCTTTCTATTTGCAAAAACGTGCATATATTTATGAAGGACAATACGATGTCGTGAAATATTTCTACATTATCCCTGGTACCAGAAAAAAAGAAAAAGATATTCACTGACACATGTACTAATCTCTTCTGTGGTAAGAACAGTTGAAATCTACCTTCTTCACTTGATCTTAGCCAAAAGGCCGAGAAGCGATGGAATCTACCTTCTTAACAATCTTCAAATGTTGTTCTTATCTGTAATCACTGTGTTATACAGTAGGGCTCTTACGTGTACTTCTGTGTACTTCCAGTCGAACCGAAACCTTGTCTACTTTGACCAGTATCTCCTACCTGCTCCAGTCACTGATAACCACTATCACCAGCCTGCTTCTGACTTGGAGTCTTTAGATTCCACACATAAGTGGGGTTGTGCAGCATAATCTGTGCCTGGTATTTCAGGAGTCATCCTTCATGTGGGTGACTAAATGCAACAGTTTCTGTAAATGAAGGAGGGGTGATTCAGCTCCGCCATCTGGAACGTAACACTACACAGTCAGTTTCTTAAAGGGCACAGCTTCCCCCGCCTGCACCTGTTAGACGCTAACACTGAGGAAGCAGCTCTGTGAACCACGGCCCTCACCGTGGCTGTTTCAGATTGCAAAGCCTCCAGCTAGTGTCTGGCACTGTTCGGACTTACGCAGACAGATCTTTGAAAAGCTTCCTCCTCCGTTGTGATTACCAAGGTTGTCACTTCAACACCGGAATCGATCTACTGATGGCACGGCCGGGAGTCATGGGACTTAGGAGGTGTGGCCTGGTCCAAGGGTGCAGGGTGGGTGTCACGCTGGGGATGACCCTTACTTTCCGGCCCTTTCCCTGGGTCTCTGTCTGTCACACTCGTTCACTCACTTCCCTCTCTCCCTCGCTCTCCCTCTCTCACGCTCCCCTCCAGCTGCCACAGGGTGAGCAGCTGTGCTCTGCCACCCCCACCTGCCATGATGTTTCTTCCTTGCCAAAGGACTAAAAGCAATGGATACAGCTGACTGTGGCTCTGAAACTGTAAGCCAAAATCATTTTTTTGAGTAAGGTCTCGCTATGTAGTCACTTCAGGCTTGAACTCATTTCGTGGCTCACGCGGGCCTCGCAGCCATACTCCTGCTTAAGCCTTCTGACTCAGACCTACTCCCCTGATTTCTCCAGGACTGCTCCTTGAGATCCTGGCACATATCAGCAGGAAGCCATGGCTGAACTACAGAGCCTCTCGTCCTATTCAAAACAATCCTATTCAGGGCTGGGGATTTGGCTCAGTGGTTCCACTGCCTGCCTTGTAAGTGCAAGGTCCCAAGTTCGATCCCTGGTACCAAAAAAAAAAATCAAAATAATCCTGTTCAGACCCAATCTATGCAACTACTCTGGAAAACTGCTTTGTATCCTCAATAGTATGCTGGAATTAAAGAGCTGGAAAGAACACTAGGCCCCTGGTGTTATTCACTGTGATCTTTTGGCAATGGTTTTGTTGTTCCCAGCAGACCTGGGGAGGATGAAAGAGATGAACCACACAATGCCACCCTAGTTACCCAGAAAGCGCCCACTTCCAGGTTGTGACACACCTTGCTATGGCTGCTTCTCGGTTCCACTGCACTAGTGCCACTGCAGTGCGCATGCATATGGGAACGTTGGCTGCTCGTTGCCGATGAATCTCCCCACACTTTCATCAGAAAGAAACAGGCCTGGCGTGGTGATGCACACCTGTAATCCCAGCACTCAGGAGGTTCGCTGAGAGTTCCAGGCCGGCCTGAAATGTGTAGTGAGATCATGGCCCCCCACAAAAGAATGTCGTATACAACATTCAGGTCCAGGTGGTAGCCTCCTGAATCAGAGAAAGAAGGCTATTAATCCAGTCCAGCAGAACTTTCTACCCCAAATTCCATCTCAGGGCTCTCTGCCTAGGCATTATGGGACAACATAGGAAGAACTGTATAAAAGTAAGAAATAAAAATGACTGAGGGGCTCACTCAGTATTAGGGTGCCTCTTGGTTCAATCCCTCATGTCCCCAAAGCAGGGATGTAAATCAATTTCGTATTTTCCAAAGTATCTCTAGTGTTGTTTAAATTTTGCATCTGTAATATTTGGCCCTGAACGAGTTACCTGTATACTAGAGAACACTGTTCTCTCCTCCTTCGGGCCACGGGCCTAGAGGTCACTCGCGTTGTGTCAGGATCCCCTGCTTGAGGTGCAGCCCCAATTCAGTCTTTCCTGTGTTGGACAGCCCCTTTGTTTTTCACTCTTATAGGGACTCTGTTTGCATTTCCCTCATTTTATGGCTAACCTGGGGTCTAGCAGTAAAGGGGCGATGGCGGTCAGTCTAATCATCACCTGGATTATAGAAATCATTGGGTAATCACTGTGGTCCTGCCATGGCATTTCCCCATCTACCTCCCAGGTAAGCCCCACTCTGGAAACCATGTGTATGTCTCAGATTTCCACTGCTGGGACAAAATGCCTGACATCCACAATTTAGAGAACAGGAGGATTAACTTTTGCTCGCAGTTTCAGTAATTTAAGCCCAAGGTCTGCTGGCTCTAAGAAACATCATGGAAGAGGAAGAGGCAGGCTACACCCCCGTGCCCCACCACCCAGGCCCCACATCCCACAGCACATTAAGACTCAGCTAAGGAGTCATCAGCGTGTTAATCCATCACTGAAACTAGTGCCCATGACACGATCACCTACCAGAATCCCTGCTTCTGAACACATGAGCCTTTTGGGGGACATGTCTGATCCACTCATAATATTGCCAAATATCCTTTCCTCTGGAAATTGCTCCAATTCTATGAGATAAACATCTTCAGCTTCCACATATGAGTGACAGCATGCAGTGTGTGTCTTTCTGAGCCTGGCTTATCACTTAACATAATGCTTTTTGAGCTTGCCACTGTTGCTGCAAATGGCTAGATTTCAGACTTGCTTATGGCAAAGAGTATTTCGTCATAAATTTGGTTTTGTTTCTGTTTTTTTCTCTCTTTTGGAACTGGGAATTGAACTAAGGGCTTCATACTAAGTATGTGCTTTCCTATTGAGCCTCTCCACCATCCCCTATCATGTTTGTCCATTGTAGCAGCACAAATGGACTGGCACTCTTACTGAGGGAAGCAGAGCCAGGACACGACTTCCATCCGAGGACTCAGAGGAGCATTGTCGTTCAGGAAAAAGAATATGAGGGGAAATCCCCCCTTAGAGATTGTTTTTTCATTCAGACATACCCTTGTCACAAAAGACATGTTATGGGGGCTGGGGACTTAGCTCAGTGGCTCCGCTGCCTGCCTCACAAGCGCGAGGTCCCAAGTTCGATCCCTGGTACCAAAAAACAGACAGACAAAAGTCAGGTTAACAAGAGAAAGGGAAAGATAGAAGTTTTATTTTTATTTTTTGTCAATGCAAAGGACCAAACCTAGGATCTTTTGAATGTTATCAATGTTCTACCATTGAGCTACCCTGACCCTCAGAGGTTTATTAATGTAAATATTTCATATACACATATGCCTAAATGCATAGACACATTCTCAGCATGTTTCTTACCTTCTCTCCCCATTATCCACACTTTTGACTGTAATCCACTGTTCTTTCTATGAAATTAACTTTAGATTCCATATACAAGTGAGATCATACATCTCAAGAGAATATCACACTTTTAGAGAACTGACAAGACAAAGAAAAAGAACACAAGCCTTTGAAACAGCAACTTGTACAAAGGAAAAACACAGCAAATAAAAATCAATTAGTGAAGGATATTAATATAGCTCCCTCTATTATTACTTTCAAGGTAAGAATCTAAAAGTGTTCTGAGTGGTAAATCTTTGTTGATGTGAGATAATCAGGTGGAAGTAGGTAAACTTTTGTCCTTGTAACTCTTATTTTTCAGTCACACACCAGAGGAGCAGATTACTGTATCATCTTTTGTTAACTGTCTACCAATCAATAGGCTTTCTATATTTTGAGGTACTATATTCTGCCCTCTCACAAGAGCCAGAAAAAAGCTTTCAGGGCACAGGATCAGGGCATAATTGACACTCAGTTCAAAGAGCTAGGGAGCACACCTTCCATTCCAGGGGGTACTTGTTTCTTTTTGAGATAAGGTCGTGCTGTATAAGTCAGGCTGGCCTTGTCCTCTCTATGTAACCTAGGATGGAACTCTCTATCCTAAGGGCTGGGATTACAGGTGAGTTGCCACACCTGGCCAGGAGGTACCTGTTTAAAGTAGCCTGAAACGCTCATCCAGATTCACAAACTATACTCAAACCTCAGGAATGACAACTTGGGGGTCTGGAAGTACACTTCAGTGATACAACACATACCTCATGTGTACAAAGTTCTGAGTTGGATCATAAGTACCAAAAAATAAGTAGATAAACCTGTCCTCCCCAGGTTCATTGTATATGTTCCTGGAGAAACAATTCAGGTGTCTGACTCACTCATAGCTCCCAGATCAAGCAGAAGTAAAGGCCAAGCTTCGGTGGTGTACACCTATGTCCCGGATGAGAGGGCCAGTGACGAACAGAACCTATCCAAGTCGTGGCTTCCTAACTGTAAAAAAATATTTTCAATGCTATTTGGGAAAGTATAGTAGGAAAGACTTTACGTAGGACTACTTTGAAGGATAATAGGAAGCATTTTCAATGTCAGGGAAAGAAACTGCTCAGTTCTGAACACAGAATAGTCAAGTGGGAATTTATAGTCAAAAAGCAGCAGTGAGGTCAATCAATGAGAAATTACTGTGCAGAAACAGCGGTAAGGAAGACACTGGCTAGAATCACCTAATTAGGGGCCAGGGATTTAGCTCAGTGGTTCTGCCACGTGCCTTGCAAGTGCAATGGACCCAAGTTCTATCCTTGGTACAAAAAAAAAAAAAAAAAAAGAATCACCCAATAAGACAGCACCCAGGGAATTGTGGAGGATGAGGAAACTGATTATGTGCTGCTGAGGATGATTAGTTATCAAGGCTGAATTAGAAGTTTTCTTGCTAAACCATCTTAGCAGTTTTTGCTTAAATTGGATTTTTCAAAGAAATGCAGAATGGTTCTTGAAAAAAAATTCAGAAGCCTGACTACAGGTTTGACGTGGAACAGTGCATGCTTAGCATGCAATGAGACCTGATTCAATGATCATCACCAAAAAAAGTTTTGATATAGCAAAAACATTCTGTCAATTCTTCCTGTATGCATTACACTCCCAATTATTTAGTGAAGCTTTTCCACTCCATTGTTACTCTTCAACTGATTGGTGTACCCAATGTTTGTCTCTCCTTTTTAGTTCCATTGTATGTTACAAAAATATAGCAGAAACTTATGTCTGTTGCATTATACAGCATGATCAAATCAGTACTCCAACCGCATCTCCAACTTGTGAATCCATCATGCCTGTCCTAACTGTGTAGAATTTAACTCTATTTAACTCTGTACATGTGGTGCTGGAGATAAATTCAAGGACATTGAGCATGCTAAGCAAATAGTCTTACCACTAACTTATATTCCCTGACACAGAATTCAATTTTTAAAAATGTAATTATAGAATATTAAGATTATAAGAAATTCAAGGAGAGCCATGGAATTATTTCAAAACCATAAAATTCCTTGTGACAAATTTCAGAATACAGTTCTACACCTGTCATATGTATGTGTATATGAGTGTATGTGTATATATATATATATATGTGCACATATATATGCACATATATATGCAGTTATATATGTACACACACAGACACATCTTTTTGTCTCATTGACATATTAATGGGTAATACGCAGTAATTTAAAAGATTGAAAGAGCCAACCATCATGGCACACACAAGTAATCTGAGGCGAAGGCAGAAAAACTGCTACGAATTTGAGGCCAGCCTGTGGTACAGTGGGTTCAAGGGCAAACTGAACTATATAGCGAGAGCCTATCTCAAAAAAAAAAAATGCCGTGTATGGTGGCCCATTCCTGTAATACCAGCACTCAGGAGGGTGAGACAGGAGGATTGCTGCAAGTTCGAGGCCAACCTGGACCACATACTGAGACCCTGTCTAAAAAAAAAAGAAAAGAAAAAAAGGAAAGAAATATCCTGAAATCTGTGATGACATAGTTTTTCCCTCATCAATGATTCAGTTCCTTTGGATCAAATACTTGAGAAACGAATAGGTTTAACAATAGATGTTATTTTAAATTGCCTGAATTATTTAGAATTCCTATACACAAGTTATTTGAGGGGATAATTACACGGTAAT